CACACAGACTCTCCCACTGGTACATTTTCATCTTTAAATCACTTCTTGGTCTGCTGCCTTCATACATCTCCTCCTACATGTCTCTGTGTGAGTGCAGCTACAGCGTGCGCTCTCAGGACATCATTACCTGCAGTGTTCCCTCAGTGAGGACTGAACTAGACAAAAGGACCTTCTCCTACTCCGCTCCTGTTTCCTGGAATATCTTGTAAAAAGATCTGAAGCTCTCGACCTTTGACCTCTCTTCAAACATCTGATAAGTTCCTGAGAACAACCAACACGGACATGTTCCTGTTTTTAGTTTTCTACACCGCCTTACAACCTGGCTGCTTTTGTTTAGTTTTTTAATATAATTTTCTTTAATTTATTCTTCTCAATTTTTATATTTTTTTATGATTGTCCACTGTTGTCTTCACTCTTTGTTAAATCAGCGCTCTCTTGTAAATGATTCCCCGAGACTCAAAGAGAAAGACAGACAGACAGACAGACAGACAGACAGAAAGACAGACAGACAGACAGACAGAAAGAAAGGTTGAATGATTTTATTTTAAATCTGTGGATTAAATGACTAATTAAAAAACGTGTTTGTTTTTTTAAGCATCCAAATGTTGAGTTTAGAAGAAGTCCAGTGTCATTTTAGGAGTTATTTAATTTCAAATAAAACATATGAACGGATTCTGCAGAAAGGGTTATATTTGTAATATTTTGTTTTTTTATTCAAGTTTGATAAATATTCCTACTTTCTTCATTTGTACGTTCAGAACCTCTGGGCTCGTTAGTTCGGGTTCTGCTCGGTCCATTGAGTGGGTCCAGTTCGGATTACAGCAGCTCGTCGGGTCATGGACTCACCTGTCTCTGACTCGGAGCGTGACGGGTCCAAACCCGGAAGACGAGCAGACGGTCGGATGGCTTCAGTAACATCCAACCGAACCGAGCCGAGCCTGATCCGGACAAACGGGGCGGAACCGCCCCGGAACTCCGCCGTTAAATCCTCCGGGAGAACCGGGAGGAGGACGAGGCTCCGGCCTGCGACACCGGGACTTCAGCGGTCAGCACGGGGTTTCCCGGCGACGATCCGCACCTGCAGGGGCTCACCTCTGCTCCGCGCGCGCCACGTTCAGATCAAAGGGCAGATTAAAAGCTGCCGTCTTCGTGGTCCTCACGTGAAGATGAAGCGAGCTCCGCGGCCGCCGCTCGAGCTGCTGAATCATCCACGCGCGCACACGCGGGTGGAGCTCGCGCGGGGCACAGCTGACTCTGACGTCACGTGTTTGGCTGCAAACCGAACCCTTTAATGACCGGAAGCATTTTAAAGCGCTTCATGTGGGCTGAACCCGAACAGAACCCAGCGGTTCTGAATCGAGTCCGTCCTGCTCTGTAGACTGGAACCAACAAGGAAGACCTCCTGTCCTTTTTAAAGAGTTCGGTGCTCCAGAACTTCTGCTCTGTCAAGTCTTTGGGTCCAGCTCTCTCTGACAGCACATAACATAAATAAAATTTAATGTCGGACCTAAACAGTTGTTTTTTTTATTATTATTAAATGAGCGGTTTGTTTTATAATTTTCTTTGTTTTAAAATCGCAATAAAAAGCAAAATGAAAATAAAAACCGGAACCAACATTCAGAGGTTTTACATGAATCTGATTTGATTCTGTTTCTGTTTAAATGGATCAAATTAGATGTTCTGTGTCTCTTAAGCCTTGTTTGATTTTCTTTTTTTAATCTCTGCTGAAACTCTGATAATAAATGTAAGTTAATGATCGAAAGCAGATGTTTCGACAGATGTTTTCATGAGCAGAGTTGTTCTGAGCAGCTTCTGGTGCGCTGCCAGCGTTTGTCCACCAGAGGGCAGTACTCACCCTCATTTTTGTCAACTTAAAATAAAAACACTTTAATGTGAATTTTATATTTTTCCCACTGAAAAAGTCAGACCCGCAGAATGGCATTCTAAAATAAACTTTGATACATTTGTTCTAATGAAGTGGGATGTTTTTAACAAATTTCACAACAAATTAGCTCAAAATAATTTCGATTTTTGACAAAAAGCTTCCAGTGACTTTATTTGTTAACAGGTGAAAATCGTCTCTATCAGTTTAGAACAATTCTTGGACTCAATCAACTAATTGGAAAATATTTCTGAAAGTTTAGTCTTGAAGCTTTAAAGTGAAGGTTATTTGTTTGACTTTTTACCTGAGACCAAAATATTAAACTTGGATCAAACTTGTTTAATTTGAATGTTTTTCTCGTTCCTGCATCAGATTAACTCGGTTCTTCAGATTCACCTTAAAGATGATGAAGTGAGACAGCAGGACTGAGATCAGCAGGATTTATGATGGAGAGAAGACAGGAGCTCAGCCTCAGTCCTCAGGGGGGGTCTGGACTGAGACCCTTCAGCCTCAGGGGTCTGGTCTGAGCGCGTCTTTGTGCGGGTCAGAGAATGGGTGCGCGTCCAGCCGCGCCGTCCAGGCGGTGACTCGCGGGATCCATGGAGATCTTTTCCAATGAGAGTAAACCTCTGAAGCTCCCGGACCAGGATCCGGACCCGGCCAAGCAGCAGGTGGTGAGCCCCGGGTCTGACGGAGACGTGAGCCTCCGCGCGCTCACCGGCTGCGTCCTGTGCGCGCTCATCGTGTCCACCCTGCTGGGGAACACGCTGGTGTGCGCCGCCGTCATCAAGTTCCGCCACCTGCGCTCCAAGGTCACCAACTGGTTCGTGGTCTCGCTGGCGGTGTCGGACCTGTTCGTGGCCGTGCTCGTGATGCCGTGGAGGGCGGTGTCCGAGGTGGCGGGAGTCTGGCTCTTCGGGCGCTTCTGCGACACCTGGGTGGCCTTCGACATCACGTGCTCCACGGCGTCCATCCTGAACCTGTGCATCATCAGCATGGACCGGTACTGGGCCATCTCCAGCCCGTTCCGCTACGAGCGCAAGATGACGCGCAGGTTCGCCTTCCTCATGATCGGGGTCGCGTGGACCCTCTCCGTCCTCATCTCCTTCATCCCCGTGCAGCTGAACTGGCACCGCGCGCGCAGCTCCTCGCGGGACGGTCCGGACGGCTGCAACGCCAGCCTGAACCGAACCTACGCCATCTCGTCCTCCCTCATCAGCTTCTACATCCCCGTGCTGATCATGGTGGGAACGTACACGCGCATTTTCCGCATCGCACAGATCCAGATCAGGCGGATCTCGTCCTTGGAGAAGGCACCGCGCGCGCAGAAGCACCACTGCGCCTCGACGCACGACGAGAGCGCGCTGAAAACGTCTTTTAAACGGGAAACTAAAGTTCTGAAGACCCTGTCCATCATCATGGGGGTCTTTGTGTTCTGCTGGCTGCCCTTCTTCGTCCTGAACTGCGTGGTTCCGTTCTGCGACCCGCACCGGCCCGGGGAGCCGCCGTGCGTCAGCGACACCACCTTCAGCATCTTCGTGTGGTTCGGCTGGGCCAACTCGTCCCTGAACCCGGTCATCTACGCCTTGAACGCGGACTTCAGGAAGGCCTTCTCCTCCATCCTGGGCTGCAGCCGCCTCTGCTCCAGCTCGGCCGTGGAGCCGGTGGACTTCAGCAACGAGCTGGTGTCTTACCACCACGACACCACCCTGCAGAGGGAGGCCGCGGGTCCGGGAGCCCAGAGACCCGCCCACCCCGGACCGGACCTGCAGCAGAACTTTGACAAAGTCTCAGCAGTTTCTGGAGACTCTCGGGCCCAGCGGAACCTGCTGCTGCCCGCCATCCTGCACTTCGAGTGCGAGCCGGAGATTTCTTTGGACATGATGCCCTTCAACTCGTCCGAACCCTGCGGGGTCCCGGGTCAGGTCCTGGACCTGTGACCAGCAGGAACAGACCGGCTCAGTCCGAACTGGGCTCAACTTATTTGTTCCGTTAAACAACAATCATTTTATTTTATTTTTTCTCCGCCACAAGTTTTTATTCAAACTTTTTTCCTAAAATAAATTCTTAGTTTCAAGGGGGGGGGGGGGGCTCAAACATTTTAACTCAGCCTGGAGCTAAAATGTTAAAATGTCAGTAAAAAAAAAAACCATAAGTTTTTGTAAGTAAACTCAGTTCTCAAACTTTATTCACCAAAATATTAAATAAATTTGGAACAAAAATTTAATAAATGACGACACTCTTAAATGAACCAGTAAAATTTATGATTAAAACAAATAAAAATGTACAATTAGATCCTGGACACCACCTGTCAATCAATCCAGCAGGCTGGTCAGCTGACACAACTTTACCTGCAGAGCTGCAGCTGCTTGTCTCCAACATGAAAGTTTTGTGGTTCAGAGGGAGTTCGTGAAAAATCATCAGTAAAAAGATTCAACTTGTCAGTGGAGCACATTCAGACACGTGTTACCTTGAGCGTTGAGAAGGAATAAAGTTTATTACGTTTCAAAAACTGAACCAAGTCTGGAAAGATGTAAAAGATGATAAAGCCCTGACATGAGCAGCTGAATACCAACAGGAAGTACCGTGTGTTCACCTGGAGAAGGAACTGCAGGTATACTTCCATTGTATGCTTAGCGGTTAAATTAAAGGTTTTGTTTTGTGTGTTTTAATGTAAATACATGTTGTAACTTCTGTTTGCACAAGTTTAGTTTTTGTTTGTTCTGATCAGTTTACACTAAACTGATTTAGTACAAAGCATTAGGTAAAGCGGAGCGCCGTCTCTTAGCGCGTCTATCGGGCGCTGCTTTGCATTACGTCTTGTTGTGCCGTGCTCTCTCACATACTTTTTAAATCATAATGTTGAATTATGTAGGTAAACATAGAAGTTTAAAAACCCATGAAATACAGCAGAATGCAGGAAATGGTATCTACTTTATTCAAAAGTTTCTGGGGGAGGACACCCCCCCCCCCAGCAGCAGTGTGTCCCCCAGCTTCATAAATGTTTCTGATGCCAGTGGCCACCCCGTTGTTCAAGCCAGGAGCCATTGTCAACACTGGGGGCTGAACACCCCTAAAATTCAAATTCTAGAATCGCCCCTGGTTAAAAAACATTTATGACTGTTTGTTCTGCATCTTATTTGTTCGTCCATGATTTGTGAGGCTCAGGGAGTGGAGTGGACCACTGACGTTCACACTCTGTTCCTAATGAAGACTTGAACATGTGTTCCAACAGCTGTCCTGGAAATCAGAATGACGTCTGAAGCAAAGGGCTCTTCATGCCAACAGATAATATTCACAGCAGATGTTTTGTTCCAGATGTTTAGATGTGGGCGCTGCAGTCCTTGACATGTTAAAGGACAATTAACAACAGCATCATTTGTTTGTGTTGGATCCTCTGGTCTCTGCTGGGTTCCTCAGAGACAAACCGACCATCAGAACCAAAGAGCGGTTTGGTCCGTTGGACAGAGACCAACTGGAACATCTGGAGCTCCAGCTGTTTTGAGGGGAAAAACAGACACTAAGTCACTC